AAAAGAAGCTATTGTAAAGTATTACAAGTATTATGTTAAGCGTGGGTGGGTGAATTTTATATAAGGAGAAGTTTTATGGATGAGATGTTTTTTTTTAGAGTTCTGGAAATTTTTTTATAAGTTATAAGTTTGTGGAAAATATAATTAATTAGTTATTAAAGTAATGAGATGAATAAGTTTTTAGTTTGAATTTAAATTATTAATAAAAAGACAAACGATTAAATCTATTAAAGCTTGTAGAAAGTAATTTCGGACATATTAAGGTTGAATAGGAAATAAATAATTTTCTTTTGATAATAATAATTAGTAGCAATTTTGCTATAAATAAAAAAAATTTGCTTTATTACATAATGACTTTTGTTAAATTGCACTGTACTTTTTTAATTATTGACGTTTTTAAAAATATAAGCTCATCTTGGTGTTACGCTCATCGAGAGCTTTCATTTGAGTACCCACATACATTTTTGATATATTTTTCATATATACATATATATTTATATATATATAATATATATAAATATATAAAATATATGAAATATCGATGTGGGTACTCAAATGGAAGGTCTTGATGAGTGTAATGTCGGGGTGAGCTTATATCTTTAAAAATATCAATAGTTCACAAGATAAAAGGTAGTTTCTTAATTATTGATATTTTTAAAATATAAGCTCATCCTGATGTTACACTCATCAAGACCTTTCATTTGAGTACCTACATGCATTTCTGATATATTTTTCATATATACATATATATATATAATATATATAAATATATCAAATATATAAAAAATTGATGTGGGTACTCAAATGAAAGGTCCTGATGAGTGTAACATCGGGATGAGCTTATATCTTTAAAAATGTCAATAGTTCACAAGATACAAAGTCATTTCTTAATTATGTATCTAGAGATAGAGCATTTTCAAATGCAGCCTAAATACTTATCATCATAAATTGACTATTGATAAGAATGATATGAAACCTTAAAAAGGGGCACAACTCCAGGTCAAGACCTCTCTAATGATACTAAATTTAACCGTAAAAACCTATTTTTTCTTATTCTTTTAATAATATAAATGATATGAATAAAATAATAATAAGAATAACAGTCTTGGTAATTTATAAAATAAATACGAAAAGATTTAATTAAAAGAAGCAATTGTAAATCGTAATAAAATAAGTAACAGGCGTGGTCGGACAAATTGCAGGAGAAAAATTTTTAGCGGAATATATATGTGGCTTATAAAAATGAGTATGAAGATGAGTGTAGAAATAAACGAGTATAGAGAGACGGATGAAAAGAATAAAAGGAAAAAGGAAATTTGAAGAAAGGGTAAGGGTAGAATCCGGAACGAAACGCCTACGCGACTAATATCGTGTGTGGAATCTCGATCGGACTATCTCTTTGCCGTTTGCAAGCACTAGACTAGATCTATATAATATATATTATGCTCTTCTGGCACAGATTTACGTGTGCAATCTCGGTTCTGGTTTAGAAACGATTGCACCCGTTCACTAAGCCCACATTCAAATTGCCGGACAAACGTCACCAGAATCTTGATTTTTATTCAAATGGTATTTTATAAATAAATATAGTAGTTGCCGTCACATTCGAACTTTTATTCACTAAATTCTACTCGTTTAATGCACCGAATAAATAAATAAATAAACAAAATTTTTTTTTTTTATAATTGTTACCCTGAAAAGGAGTAATTTTTATGTAATTGTCTGGGGCTTTATTTTCATTCGTTATTGTTTTATTATTTCTCCGGTTTATCTCATTGTTACATTTTATTCTCTTTTGTAATAACACTCTTTGATATTTTAATTATCTTTAACAAAACAGAGTAGGTGAACCGGCGAATTTGTGATCTTTCAGTTAGAAAATTTTTAATGAAAACTTTTGTTACTATTGTAAGTACGGGGTTTTATTGTTTTATAAAAATGAATTGTGAAAAAGAAATAAAAATTATTCAGAAAAATTGAATTCTTAGTAACATTTTAAATTTACGAAAAAAATTCAATTATTTAGAGAGAATAAAAAAAATTTTTAATTGAGCCAAAGAAGTCCAATAAAATTTTCCTGAATATTTTTTCGGTCAATAAAATAAATTCTCTCGTTTATTTTTCATCACTGAAATTGAAAGAAGACATTTTAAAGATTTACTGCAAGCTTGAATGTATTTGAATGATTTAATTACAAGAAAATTTTACTCCAAGATAGTATGCTTGATGAGTGAACTCTGATATCGCTAATAGAATTGTTACCTCCTTATTGACAACTGGTGATAACTTCAAATTGAGCTAAGAATAAATTCCCGTATTAAATCTTATGAAAATGTTATAATTTTAATTAAAACTTGGACGGAAAAAGAACAGTTGAAAAATTTAACTCATATTGACAATTTACACTGATCTGAATAAATTTTACTCACTTAAAAATTTTTTTTCAATAATTTAAAAATTACAACCTCTCACTGATTTTTCGTAAGGAATTTATAAAATTAAAATGCCACATTTTTATTTTTTTGCACGTAGCCTGTTTTTACTCAAAAAATTGCAATAATTATTAAATTGCAAGTAAATAAATAATAATTATCTCTGATATTCGAGAGTTTATATTGCAAAAACTTGAAAGATATTAATAAAAATTTAAATACATAAAACTGTCACTGAAGGTGAAAAATTTCGACAGCCAATTAAACTAAATGACAAAAATAAAATTAAACAAATCTTTCTTTAAAAATTACCATATCAATAAATAAATTAAAAAGTAATTTGTTGAATATAAAGACTTGGATAATAAATGATATTACATTCCATAATGGGAAGTAAGTAGTACAATATCTTAAATCTTGAATTAATAATAGTCACCAAAGATAAAAAATTACAGAAATAAATAAAACGAATTAAAAAAATCCACAAGTATAATCCTTTTAATGCCGTTACTTAGCAGCTTTGGTGTATAAGGAATTCGTTTAATAAAATAAAACGATGGCAGTTGGCAGTGACGAATCAGTATTATTTGTTTAGAATACTTATCTGCATATGTATATGTTTGTATAAATGGTAAAGAGGAGGAGGAAAGAGCTGTGATGTGAGTGATTTCCCTGAGTGGATCGCATGTAACTGATGTGTCTATATGTACATATATAATATGCGAAATAATAGAACAATAATATAACATAACAGAATAGAATAGCGGGGAAGTGAAGAGAAGTGAAGTGGAGATGGTGAAGAACGCATACAGAAATTTATCCCCACAGTACATAACAGAGCAAAGCCTTGATTCAACATTCAACATCGTGTATTGAAACTTGCAATAAAACCGCTACACTACATCACGCAGTTATGTATACATATATATATATAAAAATAAGTATTCGTTTGACCAGCAGAACAGCAGTCCCTCTTTCTTCTTCTACAGCATGCTGCATATTGTACACTCGGCTCTTCCATTTTCTGCTTTCTGCTTGCCCTGCGGCTATCGATGATGAATATATATACATATGTGTATATATGTAATACATAAGAGCAAGAGTATAACATATAACGTGTATAGTACGAGTTACGAGTGGTGGCTTTGAAAACATTCGCCAACTGCATGAAATAGTCCTGTCCAAGTCGATTCAACATTTGATCTATCCACTGTGTCAACTTCACTGTTAGGTGTCACTTTATTTGCCTACCAGACAAGTTCGTTCACCTTTTTGCTTCTATTTAGTTTGTTGATCATTTTTTCTACAAACATTTTATTATTGCTCTTTTATTTTGTGTTTTTTTTTTTTTATTTTATTTTTTTTTTTTGTCGGGAATGATCAGATTACGATTTGGCATGATGTAAGCGCGACGATTTAAATATTTTTATTATATGTGCTAGTTAGTCGTGGTCTGAATCAGCGGACATCCGATAATTTTTTGGTTTATCTGATTCATTTTTATTAAATTAATATTTTATTTTTTTTTATTTTTGCTGATAGAATTTTTAATAATGTGAAATTTTAACAATTGTAAAAAATTTTTAGTTAAGAATTTTTTATGTTAAATATATTTAAAATTTTTCTTCAATTTTATTTAATTAATACATAAAAATGCTAAACAAATTAAATAATAAAAAAGTTTTTTTCTTTTGAAAGAGCGGCGAAAAATTTTTTCAATGTCAATTATTAAAAATTAATTTTTGCAAATAGCTTTAAAACATAATAAAAAGAAAAATTTAATTTTATGAAAAAATTAATTTTGAATTTTTAGTAAAAAGAGAAGAAATTTTAAATATTTAAAATTACGATGATATTACTTCAAATATAACTAATTATTGATTAAAAATTTCTTTTTAATTTTATAAAAAACTTTTAAATTGAAAAATTCAATTTTAAAATTGCAAAGATAAAAATATTCAAAAAGCTTTACTTTCATAAAATGAAAAAGCCCGCGTATCTTAAATCATTTTTATTATTGTCATAACGCACTGATATGTAATGTAATGAAAAACGTGCTGTATGAAAGGACACTTCAATTTATAAACTTGATATCACTCAAGAGCCATTTACCGGAGATGAACAAAAAATAAAATTGAAAGAAAAAAAAAAAGAAATTTCTGCAACACAGTATTGATGATAAATTATTTCAACAATTATAATAAAGAACTGAATGAATAGTAATTGATAAAATAAAAAAAACATAAATTAAAATGAAATTGACAAGTAAGATATCTGAATGAGTTTAAAGTTTCTTATTAAATCCATTTATACAAAGTTTTAACCGAGAAAATAATATATAAGACAACTTTGTCGATTGTGAAATGTGATTTAATTTCAATGGAAAATAACGTGGATGAATGGGTGTGCCTCTGCTGAAACTCGTCGGCTCGTTTAAAGTTTTGTCCTGTTGAGTGTGTATATATATATATATATTATGATTGTATATTATAGAGGTATATGTATTGAGAGCAGTACTGAGTGGCATTACAGGTATATATAAATATATGTATAGATGGCCCGGTACGTATGGAGTCAAATGCCGCAGCAAAGTTTGAGTTTAAGACTTTTGTGTGTATTATACCACGGCATAATACAACAGCTCAAGTTTTAGCAAGAGCAAGACAGGATGTTTTTAAGTATAAAGATAAATGAGAATGAAAGAGAAAGAAATATGATGATGATGATGATGATGATGATGATGAAGTAAAGAAAGTGGGTCGTGCTATTTTTGTTACATTCAGGTGGTACTGTTGCTTAAAAATACTTTACCACAATTATTTTTTTAGTTTTATTATTTGTACTTACGTATACATTATACATTATACATTATACATACTTTTATACATTATATATTGCAAATTGCTTTGGTAGTATTACTCGAGAAATATGAGAATAAAAGATAGTTCAACTGGAATAATAACTAAGATCCAGGTTAAATGTTTCTTCTACCTATTTTAACTTTTACAATAACAACTATTTTAGGAACAACAACAATCGATCCAACGACCCCTTGATTTATGTTACTTTTTAATTCTTGTTATTTGTACGTTAAATATTATTCGTGCTTCATTAAAAATCTTATTTTTAATGTCAAAACATTCTACTTGAATTATCTTTATTTCTTCAACAATATTTTAGATGTATTTATGATTTTGTTATTACAAATTTTCGATCTTAACCACTAAAATTTTGATGTTTTGATTAGTTACCTCAAAATAAAATTATTATATAATAATTTATTACAGTAAATTGATAACCTATTACACAAAGCATGATCAAAAAATTTTTTTCGCCTTCAAAATTATTTATTTGATTGAAGTAAATTTTTTTTTGTTTCTATTTATTATCTACATTTTTAATTTGTTATTATTTCATAATTAAATAATCATTAGGAGTCGTGAACTTTTGGATTTTCAAAACTTTTATTCTGTTTTACAAATGGCGCATTTGTCATTCTGTACTTGGCGCGATGCACTGCCGTTCCTTTGAATTGTAAGACTCCAAACTTTGAATAAATTATTATTAAAAAAAAAAAAATTCAACAGTTAATTAAATTCTTATAAATCTTTTCTTATAATAATTAAATAATTTTTAAATCAATTCATGTTACACAGTAAAAAATTAATCGGTATGATCTAAAGAATTTTAACTCAAGAAGAAAAATTCTTAACTTGAGAAAGTATGTTAAAAAAAAAAATTTATCTTAAATGAAGTAAAACTTTTCAGCCGAAAAAAATTTCTTCTTTTTAATTACAGCAGATATAAAACTTCAAATTTTCAAAGTAATTTTTTATTGAAAAACTTTTCTACATACCTGATATAACAGATCAATCTTCTTCAGTTAAAAAATTCTCTAAAAAATTAATTTATTGATGAATCAACCTAGAATTAGGTCAGAATAAATATTAATAAAAAAACTGTCTAAATAATGGTGTATGATTCATCTTACTTCACTGCTCTGACAAGGGCGTAACAATGACATGAAGTTAAATTACAGTTTAATTTTTTCATGAGGAAAAAAACATAAATAATTCGTAATACTCGACCCAAATTTCATCGCAACGTAGCCCGTAAAATAATTAATAAATATTAATCGATCGGTGATCAGATCTCCTTACAGAAGTTTGATATTAACAAGAAATAAATCATAAGAGTTTACATCAAAAGTCTTTAGTTTCATTCCCCGATAAAATCTTGTGACACAACCTGACATTTAGTAATACGTACACGTACACACGTCTGCGTCATATATGCTAAAATAACCGTGTCAAAGTTGGTCAACAGTCGGCTGATTGTCCCGCGACATATTTAAAACTAATTGGTGTATAATAAGCGCTCGATTAATCATTTTGTTATATAGTACAGGTTTGAGCTTGTTAAATAAACCGTGTAAGCGAATATGCGTTGTTTGTATTACATTTTATATGCGTATGGGCAAAATTGTATGATATGCACCATTACATGCTGTACATAGTAAGAGTGTGTATTATGAATTTTATAAGAAGAATATGAAGTATTATATTTTATTATATGGATATAGGATATTAAAAGCCGAACCCAAATCTACGCTTAACAACAATATACACACCAATACACACCAAGATTCTACTAGCTAGTAGCTGATGATGTTGCTTTAGCTTGGCGCGTGTCGTTTCCGCGGCAACCTGCAGACTTAGTATCCCTTTCTCTCTCGTTTCATCTCATTCTTATTATTATGATACACACTGTTCAAGCATCCCTGGTTTACACGTCAAACCATTTTCATTCCTCTGTAAAACTTGTTAACGAAAAACTTTTATATTAAATTTTTTATTTTATACTTTTAATGATGTGATTATTTGTTTTTTCTTTTATAAGTACGTTTTACTATTTAATTATTATATTTATTTAATTACAAATTTTTATTCTGAAAAAATTGTTGGATATTTTAATTTTAAATTAATATCAAAATTTTTAGACTGTTTTTATTTTTATTTGAGACTTTTGTTTTGTTTTTTAATTTTTTAAATAATAATTTTTGCCTTTTTGATAAAATTTATAATTTTGTGGTCTAATATTAAAAAAAAAAAAAAACTAATTAAAAAAATTTTTTAAACGCCAAACAAAACCTGTAAACATTTTTTATCCTTATAAAATTTCTTTCTCCATCTTAAAAGACGCTTACATTTAAAAACTATCCTTAAAAAAACAGGTTTGGCTACTTGTATTATATAACTGATGACATAAATATTAAATAAACTCTTGGAGTCTCCAGAAAATATTTTTTGCGTCACTTAATCTGTAATTGTGTGTAAGCGTTATATTGGCCACTAGAGAGTTATAAGTGGTAACCACTTGTGTCTAATCGAATGTAATCGATATATACGTTATTGAGTGAGTGGTTAGCGATGAAGATTATTAAGAGCAATGACCATTAAGCGTTAATTTATAATACTTTTTGTTCCGATGTTTTAAATGCCACTGTTGATCTAATTGACGCTTAATGTGTTGTTAAATAACTCTTTAAATTACAAAAACTTGTTATTATATTCTCATATAATAGCTGCGAAAGTTTTATTATAATAGACACAGAAATTCTCCTGACAGAATATACGGACGTGATGTTCATCATAATTATAATTGTTCTCTTATGCGTGTAGAATAAAAAAAAAAAAAAATTAGCGACACTTATAGCTAAAAAAATTATAACAATTTACCGTAACTATTCTCATGTGTTAATTATGCAAATAATAATATATCACACAAAAAGTATTTAATTTATACGATTTAATTTCTCTAATTTCTATTTATTTTAAAATTATGATATCTAAAAATAATAAAATATACAAATAATTAATAAACAAATTTAATAAAGACTTTTATATTATTTTTTGTATTTTAAAGTGTTATAAACACTTTATTTAATTAAATTAAATTTTTAATTAAATAAAAATTTTTATTTCTTCCCTAGATACTAGAATTTTATTTAAAGTCAAAGAATTTTAAAACCCGCTTAGAGTGGTCACCTAGAAAAAAAAAAAAACTATAAAATATTGACCAAAATTTCAGATGCAGTAACAACTCTTGCCCGTCAGTCGGAGAATAAGACACTGGTGCTATTCGAGCAAGTCTACAGATCAATGTCACTGCTCAGCAGACCATCTATAAAAGCACTGTACCAAGCAATGGTGGAATACGTGTCGCCCAGCAACACACCAGACACCCTGCAGCAGCCCTTGAGCCGTGATATGCTTCAAGAGCGATTCACTGAATTCTTCACCCGACTGTTCCCGATAGCGTATCACCGGGCAGTTAATCCTCATCAGGTGGACTTTACCGATAAATTCAAGGATTGTCTGTACAAAGCCATGGACGAAATCCAGCCATTCGGTGATATTCCTAAGCAAATATCTAAATCAGTGAGCAAGAGCTTGGAAGCGACTCGGGTTCTCGTTCAAGCTCTAACTCTCGGCAAGACAGTTCTTGACCGTACCGACAGTGTCCTGTTCTACGCGACGACTCCGCAGCAGGTTTCATGCTACGAAGCGCTCTTGAGGATGACTTATTGCCCCAAGTGCTCCGGGTACGGCTCTTCCATTCGTCCTTGCGGTGGTCTCTGCACCAATGTCATGAGGTAATTTATTACATTAATTATAATTATCATAATTACTTCGAAATCATTCTATCAGACTGTCAGAGTGACATTTATGAGTGTAATAAACGTAGAGGAGGTGATTAATGAATTAGTATATGTATTTATACTTACATGTGTACAATAATTAATTTTTCAGAGGCTGTTTGACTGAACCGGCTTCAGAATTAGATCTAGCATGGTCTGGTTACGTCGAGACTGTTGAGCGTCTAGTTATAGCTGTTGACGGGCGAACTGATCCCCTCGGATTGAACGCTGAGAGGGCGATCAGACAGCTGGATACCCGTATTTCTGATGCTATTATGTACGCCATGGAAAACGGTCCTGCACTTGAAGAAAAGGTACTGTAAAAAAGTTGAATTTTATTGAGATTTATTGCAAAACTTTGTTGAGATTTATAAATTGCACGACTCATAATGTGAAGCATCAGAGAGTACTTTACGATCGAAAAATGTTTTTTGGCTCATTTCGCCAACTATTTTTATTATATTATAGTCTTGTTAGTTCACGGAATCAAGATATTTTGCATACTATTATTGTCAAGATAATTTAATGGAGATTAATTTGACACTTCAAAAATTGATTTAGTGCACTAGAAACGGAAAAAAACATCAAAATAGATCAAAAAATTTTCCTCCGTCATGTATGAAACTCTGAAAACACTATAACTTGAGAAAAAATGCATCAATTAAGTTCAATTTTTTTTTACAAAATCCTTTAGGAGAATTGTAGGTCACCGAATGCGAATGGTTAGGTAATTCAGTGTCATTCATGTACAATTAACAAAATGTACAACATTTATTCTACCGCCTGTGCATTACCTTTATTAGTACATCTATTTTTTCGGCAACTAATTTTGAACGACTTGTTTTTTTTTTTAATATTTCATAATTAAATGAGCATTATGAGTCGTGCACTTTTGGATTTTCCAAACTTTTTTTAGTATCCTGTTGAATATACAGAATACAGAAAATTTGCGGTACCGCGTGGGACTCGAATAGGCGACGCTGAATGTCGCTACGTAGGCGGTTAAGAGATGAATTGAAGCTGACTTCTTTTTATTTTTTTTTTCTTCTCACTTTTTTTTATTTTTAAAAAATATCTTTGCTGCGGGACCGGATGCCGCTCCTTCATTGACCATCGAGCAGAACGTCGAGAGCAAACTAAGAAACTAAATAACATATATATATATATATATATATATATATATATATGTATAAGAGAATTAATTCATGCACGCGATGAAATCCCACTTTACGTGTCATGTTTGCTCTTGTTATTATATGCCCTCAGTAGGCAATTGCAAGAAATTAAAATAACAAATTGCTATGATTATTCGAAAAAATTCCGCGAGTAAATTCTTTAAATGTATTTTAATTTGCCGGTGTTGTAATAAATATTAATTCGTCGCCGGAGGAAAGCGAGTGAAAATCAATGAAATGAGAGCAATTGAGTTTGAGGTACGGTCAATTGAAATAGAATTTTTTTTTTTCCTGTAGCTTCAGTTTCTTTACTTTTTGTATTTTATTTTTCTCGTGTTCTTAAACTCAGAGCCTGGCTCGAAGTCCTTGTCGAACTTGTTCGCAGAAGTAGGCGCCGGATCTTGGCTCTTAATTAAAAGTTTCACACGGTTTATACACAAGCTCACGTGTGTGTGTGTTGTGTCTATGTACACCAAATGATTCCATCAGCCAGCATGAATTACATTAAATTTAACGATCGATTAATCGGTCCAATATTATTATTATTGTCATTATATTTATTTTTCAACTTCTTCTCTTACAGCTTATATAAAAATAAAAACATTCTCGTTTTAAAACAGGATTGAAAAATCTTAATTTTTGAAGTAGCAAATTTTAATAAGGAATTTTTGACTAAGTAAATTTTACTTGATTCAAGAATTTTTTTTTTAATTAAATAAAGTTGATAAAGAAATTAAATTATTAAAAATCAATAATTTTTTTTATCTATTATTTTTATAAACTTGTGACATTCAATATTTAAAAAATAATTAATATAAAAGATAATTATTTCTTGCATTTTACCCAGTTATACTCAATTTAATTGAATTAAATTTAATAAATAAAAAAATCTATAATAAAATTAACTCAGTAAATGATAGTGACAAAAACTCAAGTTTTTAATAGTATTTAAAAAAACTTTATTTTATATAATTTATCTTAAAATTTTATATTTTCCCCAAAATTTAGAATTTTATCAAGAGCCAGAATTTTTAAAAATAAACTTTCAATCATCACCCTATAAAAATACCATCGATACGCCGTAACAGGTTAAAATTAATACGTAAAGTATTTGAAAAAAAAAAAAGGAAATAGTTCGGAAATATCTCATCAGTGAGCTGTTTTATTATTATCTTTTTGTGAGGTATTACCTGATGGCATGGAATGATGGCAATGGGGGGTCGCACCTAGTGGTCCCACGATCTTTCGTGCCGATTCCACTAATAATTCCTCTCTTTAGACCTGCCCGTCGAAGTATAACCAAGAAGACTGGCCTGGCCCACCACCATGGTCCATGGACCATGGACCGCAGTCATTTGAGTATCCTCGTATTTATATACAATATACAATATAGAATATATATAAGCAAGTATAGTAGAGGTCTTGTTGGTTAGGGTTTTTTAGCAGCCAACATAACAGCCTCGAATCGAAAAAGCAAAAGTTAAAAAGATAAAAAATAATGAAAGAGACTAAAAAGGAGGCTCTTACATTCTGCGTGCGTTACGTGTCTGGATTCTGCGTGGCCTTTGGCCTTGTTCGCCTGCAGACTGCCGGTATACCTAAAAGCCGAATGTATCAGCCCCTGGTTAGTATAGACTCTAGACCTTAAAACAGACAACCGCTGTAAATGTGTAGGTATATGAAAGGGAATCGTTAGGCAGGTTGTAGGTAGAGGTGTGTCCCAGTGAATTGGCCAAGACGAGACGCCTATTTCTTTATCCAGATCTTCTCCAGCACTTACACTTAACTCAGTTATGTATCATCAGCATCAGTCCCAAGTCCCGAGGAACCAATACACTTGTAACTTGTAAATATACAAACAAAGTCTCTCAGTCTCTCGGTCTTGTTCATTCTCGGTATTAATTCCTGGATAAGTTCCTCCTTGTCTTACCTAAGAGGATAACGTTCATTATTATTCGTCGCGGCGAGTTTTATAAACCTTATACCTTATACCTTATAGCTCTTGGTCGCACGCGGTGTTCCTTCCACCTTAACCGGGACTCTTTAAGAATATGTGTATAACTCCATCTTTCTCTGCAATGGCATTTCTCCCTCAAGTCAGCCCAACTGAGCCAGTCTCACTCATTATTATTCCCAGCAGTAGTTTCTTCTCCTTGCTGGGTGTATAGCTCTTGCTCGCGCGAGCACGCGGCGCCTTTTCGTGGCTCCGAGGAAGAGGAAGAGGACCGATACGAGGAGTAGGCTTATTCTCTACTCTACCCCTGATCCTCAACCTGAAACTGCTCCTGCTCCTGCTCCTGTTGCTGCTATTCTTTTACTCCGAATTCTTTGACTCCACGTTATTTATTTATACATTTTATTTTTTATCGCGTCTGTGTGGAGCTTTGCTGTGCTATGGGAGAATTGATTTCCCCTGTATGTATATTGTATATATGAGAGTACGGACCCTCGTTAGGTCCAGAGTTTGCATGAAATTCCGGTTGACAGGGTCCACTGGAATTCCTATACATCGATTCCTGATTGTTCTCTTTGCTGGTTCACAACTCGATGAGCAACGCACACTATTTCTCCTTCTCCTTCTCTCTTTCCCGCAAAAGCCCCTTCACTTCCTATCTTTTTTCTCCTCTATACTTATTTCCATAATTTATATCACATTTATTTTTATCCTATTTTTCCACTCCCGTTTCTCAATTCGATAAATATTTTGCATATATTTTGTCCTATTGTATTTTTGACCAGAAGAAATTACTGGTAATCTTTAAACATTTTTTCATCAGTTTTATTAACTGGTCTACTGGCTTCAAATATTTGTCTTCCTTTGACTAGGTTTCGTTGATCGTTGATGAGATGGGCTTTTGCCAGCAGGATAAAATAGAGAAGCCGGAAACAAACTCGGCCTTCTAGTCGAGTGCAATATTCGGTTTTATTTATATCCAATCATCAGGCAGAGTTTCTTGATGATAATTTGACCTGTAATTGCGTTTGTTGTTAAAATTTGTCGAGTTAAAAAGGTTAAGGTCGATAGTTCGGTACTGAAGAATTATAATTGTTTCCGGTAGGACATTCTTAGTCGATAATCGATTTCATACCTTTGTATTGATAGATTGAACGGAAATTTTATAAAAGTTTTTTGGATAGATGTTTTGGTATAATGATGAGGTTTTTTTACGGAAATTAAAATTTTGTTTTTATTGGTTACGAAAGTAATGTAATAAAAATAGTTTTTATATTGGAATTAACATTTCAATGTTAGAAAATTTTATTTTATAGGATTTTATATTACTTAAGAGTCTAAAAAGTATGCTGTAAAATCTAAGTATGTTTTGCAGTTAAAATTTTTTGGTTGTTAACTACAAAGGAGCGGAGAAACATTTTTTATTAGTTACGGATAGTATAGTTTTTTTAATTGTGAATGTTATGACTTTATTCTAAAAAATAATTTTTTATTATTAGTATATTTATTGCGTATAAAGATTCATTATTTTTTTTTAGCAAATTTTTACTAATATTAACAATAAAATAATTAAAATTATAAACTTTAATTTTGCAGTTTAATAAAAAGTAACTTTTGAATATTATTTATAATCAAAAATGTACTTAATATTAATTAATAAAATTACATCACAAAACTCCAAGGTCATAAGAATTAAAAAAAAAAAACAAGGAATAGAATGTCTGAGAATAAACTTAACATCAATAACAGATAAACGAAATAACAGCAAATAGCATTGAGCATTGCTGTGTAAATTGTAATCGCAAATGTTATTAAAAAGCAAATGATTGAACACTCTTTGGAGTTGGTAAAAAAAAAGTAGATCCCATTATCTGTAGTTAAACTTCCCCTTCAACAATTATAATCTTTCTTCGACTGGTACATACGACGCGGATGCACGGTCGCTCTATTTGCCTCGCTCTCGTTTAATCATTTATTTTTTACTCCATTTATTCTTTGCCTCGCAATTCGCGCCTGCACAATGCTCTCTATTTGATTTTTGCTTTTATTATTCTCTTTTTACTTACACTGTTGTCCTTAACTTTAACATTTCTTCTTTGTACTCTCTTCTCTTGTATGTTATACATTATATACACATATTACACATATTTAACTTACAACTTCCCCTCGCACCCATATATAACACTCATATCTC